TTTATAATAGGGTTTGATGAGGGTTAGGGATTTGGTTAACTTACATAAAAGTGGAAATGATATAAATACCTTTCCTTGTTAAATGTAACAACTAAATTTGAAAAATAGGTGGATAGTTGATTGTCTTTCAAACCTAGGGTGGAAAAGTCTTAAGGAAAAGTTAGTGTGGCAAAATGTAATTGGCCTTTATTTACAACCCTAACCTAACTGCTTAAGGACCCAAAGACTGTACACAATTGTAATAATCACTGGTTAAGGGTACTATTGTAACTCGGCATAGCCTAGAAATTTCTCATGTAACATCCTTGCTTTACGATTATAAATATGACCAGAATTTCCTTTTTTTCATAATTTTGAAGTTGCTCTTACTTTCTCTCCATTTCAAGGCAATTTTCTCGCGGTTTCTCTTGATCCAAACAAAAATGGATGCTTTTTCTTCCTTCTTCGAGTCTCAAAATGCATCTCGATGGAACTCTTTCAAGAACTTTAGCCAGATCTCTCCCGTCGTGCAGTCTCATCTTAAACAGGTAAATTCATGTTGATTTATTTTCTCGAGAACATGTAAATTTCTCAATATTTAGCTGGAAAATTTAGAATCATGCGATCTTTATCATAGTTTGCTGTAGTGTTTCAATAGGACACTGTTGTAGCCATAATTTTGTCTTGATACATCTAGAAGGTGTAGTCTTATTAGAATATTTAGGTTTCTATTTAATTCTAGTCTATTTGCGTTACGGTTTTCGTATAGATGTATAGTTTGGCCATAAAATTGATAAATGATTTCGATGGTCCAAGGGGCTATTGTATTGGAAAATCTTTATTTCTGTTTGGTCGCCGTGAAATATACAAGTCGAGAGAGGATTTCGGGCTGTTAACGTTATGGAAACTTATTTTCAATCAATGGATTCTTTTGATGTATCTACTTTGTTAGCTCAGAGAATAGGTTGATCTCATCCATGAGTATGTATTTTTCAATTAGGTTTTCTGTATTTGTTTCTCATTGAAAAAGCGGCTTCTGCAATTTTCTAGGTTTATCTCTCCTTATGTTGTGCCCTTGTTGCATCGGCCACTGGAGTCTACCTGCATCTCCTCTGGAACATTGGTGGTCTCCTTACAACTTTTGCAATGCTGGGATGCATCTTTTGGCTGCTCTCAACCCCACCTTATGAAGAGGTACTGTCGCTTTATTTGTGTTCTCGTGTTTTTATTCTGTTTCTATAATGTTATGAGAACTCACTTCTCATTTTGATTTGTGTTGCATGGTGAGTAGCGAAAGAGAGTTGGTCTACTGATGGCAGCTGGCCTTTTTGAAGGGGCCTCAATTGGTCCTTTGATTGATTTAGCCATTCAGATTGACCCAAGGTACAAGTCCAGTTATATTTTGTTATTTTCTATTGTATCTTATGCTCAAGCTATGAGCTGTGGTTTTATATAAGTTAGATTACGGTGTTTTGGTTATTATTTGATAGGTACTTTCCATAAACTGTTGCTACAATTTAGCAATTTAGTTATTGTTTTACTTTTGAACTTGGTTGCACTCAAGGGACATATATTCTGATTTGTAAGCAGAGAATAGTTTGACTAAAGTTTCAATGCACGAGAATTTCCTGAGAGCTGGGAATTTTTTCTCATCTATCTGATATTCTTCTTCCCTGCTTTAATAAACATTTGACTTCTGGGAATTATTGAGTTAATGCCCGAATTTAATTTGGGTGTGCTTCTAATTTGTGTTGTTATTTCAAATTTTTCTATAAGTGTAATTATTGAGCATTTAGTGCTTTATACTGTGTTGAGTTTATGTGGTCATACCTCTCAGCTAAACCCTAAAAGATTTCTTCCTCCTTTGGATTACATGTCTTTACAATACTTTAGTTAGAAAGTGTGCTTATGGCTCCAAATTTTCTTATGGTAATGGAGCTAACTTGTGCGGTTAAGTGCTTGGGTGATCCTTCCACTGTGGAGGTCTATTTCAAACTTATGCTTCTTGAGTTTGTTAATTGTTTTCCAACTAACTTAAGACATAATATTATGATTGAGTTTCTTATGAGATGGTTGATCCTAAAATTAACTTTGCTGATTATGAAATATATATCTCTTGTTACAGCATTCTGATCACAGCATTTGTGGGAACTGGGTTAGCCTTTGCATGTTTCTCAGTAGCAGCTATGTTGGCAAAGCGAAGAGAATATCTTTATCTTGGTGGCTTGCTTTCATCAGGCCTGTCAATGTTATTCTGGTTGCAGTTTGCTTCCTCTATCTTTGGGGGCTCAACAACTATCTTCAAGTTTGAGGTGAGAAGATGATTACTTGTTAACTTTCTTATGGTGACAATTTTGTTAGGTTAGTTGGATATTGTTGTTCACAGATGACATTATTTAATATTCTTTTGATTGTTTGCAGCTGTACTTTGGGTTGTTGGTGTTTGTGGGATACATTGTGGTGGACACCCAGGATATAATTGAGAAAGCTCACTTTGGCGATCTGGACTATGTGAAGCATGCCCTGACCCTTTTCACTGACTTTGTTGCTGTTTTTGTCCGTATTCTCATTATCATGGTAAGTTAAAATGCCAGGGATATTGTTACTACCAATTTCGATTATAATTATTATGGTTCATAATGTCGATTATTTTTGTTGAGCAGCTGAAAAATGCCAGTGAGAAGAATGAGAAGAAGAAGAAAAGAAGGGATTGAAAGACTGTCTAGTTGGTGAACTCTACTTGTTTTACTTAGGGTTTCAAACAATGAAATTTATGTATATATTTGTTTTCTTTTTCTGTAAACTTTCCTACAGCTAACTATACGAAACTGTATTCATCTGGCCGTAGTGTTGGAAATATGTGCTCTGTGGGGGTAATAGTGTCTGTGTTCCCTTAAATTTTGGTGATTGTATATGGCTGCATTTCCCCTTGGATTCTGACATGTCGGTTTCTGCTCTCTCTAAATAAAGTCACTGTTTGCAGTATTACATTGGTTTGTTCAAACTATGGCATCTCGAGTATATATCACTCCAAGTTTAGAATAGGTGGTGTTTCTTTGATTTTGATTTTGATTTAGTTGACAAACTCTAGTTTTCGGTTTATCTAAGTCACTTAGACATAAAGTAGCACTTCAACGGTCTTTAAAGAATTTTTGTTGGAGTCTCGAATTGTCTTATTTGAAATAAAGGGTTTTAGGTTTGTGCAATTGTTAATCAGTGATTTCGACGAAGTATTTGTAATGCCAATCTATGTATATTTGTTAGTAAGTAAGAGTAAGTATATTATTCTATACAAAAAGTAAAAGTAAATCTTAAATAACGATGGAAACCCCTTTCTATTGAATCGGACTCCATACAACCACACACGGGAACAGTCTACAATATAGAGAGAAGACAGATTTTAATGGAACCCAAATGGTATATTTCATATATGTATTCAAAATAACAATGGAATAGTAGTAAACAGAGATGAAATAAGGCGATAGAATATGGATCCTAGCACTTCGAGGAGCTAGGGACCTCTCAACCAATTCCCAGAATAGCAGTAAACAGAGCCACCTTGTCCTCAAGGTGGAAGTGAGGAAATTGAGTGTTGATGACTTCAAAGGGTTCCGAAGTTGCTTCAAAGGTAGGGAGATCTTGCCAACGTATGAGCACCTCCTTGGAGCCATCTAGAAGGGTCTGCACGACTAAGACTTCAGCTGGTTGAGCCTAGAGTTCCAGGTCTTCTATGAGAAAAGGGGGCAAGGGCTAAATGGGGATTGATTTGTGAAGACTGCGCTTAAGCTGGGACACATGGAATACGGGATGAATGCGGGCTGTGGGCGGAAGTTCCAGTTTATAGGCCACTTGACCGACCTTCTCTAGCATCGGGAAAGGACCATAGAACCTTGGGCTAAGTTTCTCATTCAATTTTTTTGCCAAGGACCTGAATTTGTAAGGCTGAAGCCTAAGGTAAACATAGTCACCTGGAAAAAAGTTGATATCTTTGCGGTGGTGGTTTGCTTGCACTTTCATGTAGACTTGAGCACTTTCTAGGTTGTGCTTCAGTTCCTGGAGGATGGCATTGCGCTCTCAAATCTGGTGGTTCACATCCTCCACTGGGGAGGGACAATCGGTGAGTTTAAGGAGGGTAGGTGGGTAGGTGGGTCACGACCATATAGTGCCTTGAAGGGTGTCATTTTGGTTGATCGATGATAAGTTGTATTATACCAAAACTTAGCCCAAGAGAGCCAATTCGGCCAGTGACGGGGCTAAGAACTGCAAAAACATCTCAGATATGCCTCCAAGCATTTGTTCACCACTTCGAATTGGCCGTCCGTTGTGGATGGTAAGCGGAACTGAACTTCAAAGTTGTCCCTGAAACCTTGAAGATTTCTTCCCAAACTTCAAAGTCTACCTCGATCTGAGATGATGGACTTTGGGAACCCATGGAGTTTCACAATCTCCTTCATAAAAATTAGGGCCACCTCCTTAGCATTATAAAGGTGGGACAAGAGTAGAAAATGACTATACTTGGTCAATCGATCAACCACCACCAGGATACTATCAAACCCTTTTGCTCTCGGAAGTACACCAATGAAGTCCATCATCGAATCATCGAACACTTGAGATGGAATAGGTAAAGGTTGCAGCAGCCTTGTGGGCTTAAAGGCAGAATGTTTGTTGACTTGGCAGGTTGTGCAAGTTTTAACAAAATTCTGAACATCATGCTTGGTTCCTTCCCAATAGGCCACATTTGCCACCCGTTTGTAAGTCCAAAAAAATCCCGAATGACCCCCTCCTAGATTGGAATGAAATTCAACCAACAACTTACTAATAAACCGAGATCCCTTGGGTAAAACTAATCTCCCTTTGTAAAGTAAACAGCCACGGCGTAGTGAGTAATGTGGATGGTTGCTAGAGTCCACAAGAAGGTCCTGAATAATGTGTTGGAGCTTAGGGTCACATTGGGCTTCATTTGCCAAATCTTCATACTCATCAAACTGAATTATTGAAATTGAATTAATGGCTGGAGCTTCCTCTCTTTTGGACAGTGCGTCAGCCTCCTTGTTGGTGGTCCCCGGGCAATAGTGAATATCAAAGGAGAAACCCATCAGTTTGGACAACCATTTTTGCTGCTTCGGAGTTTTAACCCGCTGATCTCGGAGGAACTGTAAACTTCGTTGGTCAGTTTTGATGATGAACTTCCTATCCAACAAATATGGACTCCCTTTGTGTACTGCAAAGACAACAACCATTAACTCTTTTTCATACACTGATTTTTGTTTGGCTTGCGGAGAAAATGCCTTACTCAAGTAAGCTATAGGGCGTGAATGTTGGACTAAAACCGCACCAATACCGTGGCTTGATGCATCAATCTGAACCTCAAATGGGAGCTCAAAATTTGGGGCTGCTAGGACTGGGACAAAAGTCATGGATTCCTTGAGTTGTTCAAAGGCCTGTTGTGCCTCATGGTTCCAAGTAAAGGAGTCCTTTTTTAGTAACATGGTGAGTGGTTGTGCTATACTTCCATAACCTTTTAGGAACCTTCGGTAGGACCTCGTGAGACCCAAGAATCCTCTTAAACTCTTCACATTTGTTGGAGTGGGCCAAGAAACCGTGGCTTCAATTTTTTTAGGGTCGGCTTCTACCCCCTTTGCCGAGATCAAATGGCCTAAATATTCTAATTTCTGTTGCCCAAATAAAAATTTCTTCTTATTCACTACAAACTTGTTCTCCTCCAAAATCTTGAGAGCTTGTTCGAGGTGGGCTAAATGGGACTCCCAATCAGGGCTATATATGAGAATGTCGTCGAAGAAAACCAACACGAATTTCTAGAGGACAGGTTTAAAGATCACATTCATCAATGCCTGAAAGGTGGAGGGGGCATTTGTCAAACCGAAAGGCATCACAAGGAATTCATAGTGCCCCTCATGAGTTTTGAATGCCCTTTTTGGGAAGTCTTCCTCTTTAACTCTTATTTGGTGGTACCCCGACCTAAGGTCCGATTTAGAGAAAACGGTTGCTCCCGCTAATTCATCTAACAACTCTTCGATGGTGGGAATGGGAAATTTCTCCAGGATGGTTATTCCGTTGAGGGCCCTATAGTCTACACAGAACCTCCAATTCCCGTCTTTCTTCTTGACTAATAATACTGGGTTGGCAAAGGGGCTAGTACTTGGTTGTATGATCCCTACCGCCATCATCTCTTCTACCAACTTTTCTATCTCATTTTTTTTTGGAAGTAAGGGTATCTATAAGGTCTAAAGTTGGGTGGTTGGGCTCCTTCTTTAAAGACTATGACATGGTCGTGAGATCGTTTTGGGGGTAGTTTGAAGGGTTGATCAAACAGGTGGGTGTATTTGGCTAATACTTAGGTCACTCTAGGGTCTTCCTCCTCACCTCTCTGTTCTGATTCGCCTTCCATCAAGGTTCTGAAAACCGGACCGGACCGTTCGGTCAGACCGGTTCGATCGGGAGCCGACAGTATTTCCGGTTCGGTGACTTATAAAAACCGATATTTAGGGTTAAACCAGATTGAGCCGCGGTTGGACCGTCGGAATACTGCCGAGTCGAGGTCTAATCGCAGCTCAATCTCGCCGGATTCTGGCATTGTTCGACGGAGAAAACACCACCATTCGACGTGATGGCATCTCCACGACCAAACCCATCCATTTTCAGTGGCCGTCGTCCAGCCTTCGTCACTCGCCATCCACCTAAAGTTTACGCGACCGTCGGATTTCTTTTGTTGATTCTGGCGAGTTCCGGCGCCGATGGAACTCCTTAGCACCACCATCAGATTTGCCGGCACCTATACATCAAAAGCCCCATGATTCCAACTTCGATTGGCCGTCGATCGTCGCTACCGCCACCACTCACCAGTCCCTTCACGCGACGGGGGTGTTTTAGACAGATTTCAAACCTTAAGGGAGTATTATAGGGGTTTTTTTGATGAATTTCAAACCTTCAGGGACTACAATTGAATTTTATAGAAAACGGTCCAACCGACCGATCCAACCAGAAACCGGACCGTTGAACGGGTCATAGTTCGGTCCGATTTTCGGAACATTGCCTTCCATCGAACAACATTCTACCAAAAACCCTCCCCTTATGTTGCTAATAGACCGTAACATGGCTTTAAGAGATACTATTGATTTCACCAAAGAGCGGTCCCCCTGCCATCTTACTTTAGCACCATCCATCTCAAACTGCATTATCAAATTTTTCCAATTGGCACAAACATCGCCTAATGTACTCAACCACGTAAGTCCCAAAACAACATCAGCACCCCCTAAAGCAAATGGGAAAAAATCTTGTACAAGTCTAACCCCTTGCACTTCTAATTGTACTCTTTTACAAACTCCTTCACCATTCACCGTCACCCCATTACCTACCATAACCCCAAACACTCTCCCTTTTTCCACCAAAATTTCCAACCTCTTCACTAATTCATGTGAGATAAAGTTGTGGGAAGCCCCATTATCAACCAGGATCACCACATCCAATTTCCCAATTCGCCTCATAAGTTTCAGCGTTTTATCGAAGGTAAATCCAACTATGGAATTCATTGAAAGGGCTAAAGGGTTACCTTCTTGGGTGTGTTCCTCCTTGTCGTCCTAGGTGGGTTCACTTTTCTCAGAGTCATCATCCTCCCACGCTAATAGAATTTGCAAAGACTTGCTTTTACAATGGTGATTTGGGTCGAATTCTTCATCACACCTAAAACAGAGCC